CTTTTTACTTATATATTTATCAAAGAATAATATTAATTTTAGGTCAGTAGATCCATCATGTTGAATTCAAAAGGATTTAATCGATCTGTAAAATGTTATTAATATGATGCGAGTAGTAATACCTCCATATTTATTTAAATACAAATTCTATCCAACAAGTACCCACTGAAAATCAACAATCGACCTCTGCGTGGTTCCCCCTAGAAACCTTTGTGGTTATGCCTAATAAATTCGACTTCATTCTCTTTATTTGTTCCTAAAGTGAAGCAGTGGGGGGAGAAGGGATTTAAAAATAATGGGGATCAGTAGCCCCATCGCTAACAATATATCCTGTCAGATCGATCTCCTCGTGGTTCCCCATGGAAACCATCGTGATTGATTTATTGTTAGATTCGTCACGGTGAGCTAACTGACCTGCTTCATCCTCACCTATCATCCTTCACTGGTGCCCCGCCAGTGTTTACCGATAGCACGGGTGGGGTTACCATCCCATTATCATCCATTAAAAAAAAAGTGAAGCAGTCGTGTTTTGGTTTGAAGAGTGCGATACAGCAATGAAGTTACAGGGTATAAAGGCATAACACTCTGGTCCTTGCATGAGGTATACCATAGAGATCCCAGTATATTTTTGATGTTAATGGTGTTATTCATGTCTGTAGGTGATACTGTACATCAAGTGGGCCGTCAGATTGTCTGCTATTCTAAGTAGATATCATAAAAAAACTTTCTGTGTGCATTTTATCTAATACCAAAACGTGGTCAAAAACGCGCGCTTGCGCGAGCGTCTAACGCATTAGCTATAATTTACTACTGAACATAAGCCACCCCTTTGAGAGCGTTTTGCCAGTAATTACCATACTTGGCAGGCGAGTTGGCAACTGCAGATAGGCTTTGGCATCTTCAAATCCTAACTAACTGGGGGGGAAGGGATTGTTAGTAATTCGAATTACCAATTCCATTGCTAGCAATATGCCCTGTCAGGTCGACCTCCACGTGGCTCCCCCTGGAAACCGTCGTGTTGAATTCCAGCTGTATTTATCACGATGGGCTAACTGACCTGTCTTTTCATTCTCACCTATCATCCCTCACTGGTGCTCCGCCAGCGTATACCATTAGCGCAGGCGGGGTTACCATTCCATTGTCATCCATTAAAAAACAATCCTAACTAACTTTTAGGAGAGATGCTGCTGTCCATCTCTCGCTCTTTTTTAGTTGTCTCTTACAACACCCACGGGAAAGGAAGTGGTGGCCTATTCTACGCCGGAACCACACGGTAAACTTTAATATGTACAATATATTAAATCAAAGATCGGTCGTAAAACTAAAAGCCAAATCTTTTTGTAATATGGATAGAAAACATATTACGCCGACCCCAAATAATGATTGGGATAAGGGTAGGAAGGCGATGATGATATTAAAACAAAGAGATACAAGCAAACTTTCTGTGCCTCGTGTAAAATTTGCCTAAAACCAAAGCGTTGTGGAGAGACATCGCTTATGCGAACATTCGACGAATTACTAATTTATTGCTTTCATATTACTAATAGTAGGTACTAGACGCACTTCCCACAACAGATGTTCCTTCATATAAATAGAATATAACAGAAACAATAATTATTTATAATGTCAATTTACAGGAATAACACACGAGTCCTCAGGAATGGCAACGCATGGGGGGTATCATGGGCGAAACAGTATACTCTGTTATGTCCATCGTACTGCTCATGTCTATAGGCGAAGGTTAGCACTTTCCATCAGGTGGGCCGTCAGCTTGTTTGCCATTCTAAGTTGTATAAAAAAAATGTACTTTATAAGATCAAAGTCTGCGCGGTTTCGCCTGGAAACCATCGTAATCTATTCTTTATGTATGGTATGCATCATCATCTAGCAATGAGTCAACTAGTCCAATTAGTAACAATCCATTTTCCCCACATAAGAGAATATTAAGAAAAAGGTTCTTGAGTGGCGACCGCGTACGGGAAGTGCAATGTAAGACGTTCCCCCCACCCCCCACTAGATGGAGTGACGACCTGAAACGCAGTGCAGGGAGTCAGTGGATACAGGTAGCTATCCTTAGCCGTTCTTTATGGCAATCTATGGGGGAGGCTTATGTCCAGCAGTGGACGGATATTGGCTGAAATAAGGATAATTAAAAAAAAAATGAATATATCCTGTAACGTATATACAAAATATATAATTAATTTTCCTTTTCACTCAAGATTTGCAAGAATTCTCTTTTACTCTTACAGAGTTAAGCTTGTCTGTTGTGCATCTTCATCTATATCTGTACTTATAATAAATCTGTAGAGAGATCAATTCTGTACATGAAATATATTTCCAAAATAACTATCAGCGGGTGATTAGTGATCGATACTGATGTCAAAAATGCAATCAGTAAAATTTTTGTCTGTCTGTCTGTATGTTCGTTATAGAAACAAAAACTACTCGACGGAGTTAACGAAACTTGGTACAATTATTCTTCATACTCCTGGGCAGGTTATAGTATACTTTTCATCACGCTACGATCAATAGGAGCAGAGCAGTGAAGGGAAATGTTGGGAAAACGGGAGAAGTTACTCCAATTTTAAGCTTCCGTCGCGTGTGCAGCCTTAATGGCCACTTTTTAAAATGTGAATATGTCCACCCGTGCGACGCCGGTACAGGCCGCTAGTTTAAAATAAATCACAACAATGTAATTTTTGTGTACAATATAGTATAAATAAATAAATAAATAAACAAATTGATAAACTTGTCCTTCCAGAAGTCACGCTGCCGTGCCCGCAGACGTCACTGGCTGTTTACAATCTGTATCTATTTAGCTATAAAATAAAATATGTTTACAATATGTAACGTCGCATTTATAAAATTATACACTATTATAATACAGAGGCGCGGAGCCTTAATTATTGAGATAATTGGTCGGAACTAGGGTTGCCACACTTTAAAATATAAAAGTCACGTGTCACGACGTCGTTCACGCCTTTTTACGAAACCACTGAACCGATTTTTATGAAATTTTCTAAATGTACATTGTATATTAGTAGTGTTAGATAAATGTATAGACAAAACTACTTGTCGGTTGTGTCATTATATTAATGGAACTATATATTACCATCTCTTAAGATAAATTTCAATAGAATAGAATAGAATAGAAAATCATTTATTCAAATAAACTTACATTGAAGCACTTTTGAATAGTCATAATAAATCGATATTAAAATCGAAATGAAACTACCAACATAATGCTTCCATCTCGTTCTGATTGATGCATATTAGTGTAACTTGTAAACTATTTTTTTTTTAATGGGTGAAAGTGGAATGGTAACCCCGCCTGCGCTAACGGGATACGCTGGCGGAGCACCAGTGAAGGGTGATTGATGAGAATAAAAACAGGTCAGTTAGCCCATCATGATGAATTCATCAGAAATTAACCATGATAGTTTTCAGGGGGAACCGCGTGGAGGTCGACCTGGTTGGGTATATTGCTAGCAATGGGATTTTTAGTCTCCATTACTAACAATTCCTTTCCCCCCACTTGTAAACTATTGTAAACCGTTCCAAATTATAACCATAATTTCTAACTGTTTTTCATGAGTGCAGTATAAAATTGACACTGACAATAGATTGGTTTAATGAATGAATAAATGAATAAACTCTTTGTTGTTCTTTCAAAGAATGATACAAATTATAAAGATTAACAATATGTGCAACAAAATGAATAATTAATTACATAAACTTAATTACATAAAAGCAAGATAAAGAGGCAACTGTGGGCGGCCTTATCGCTAAATAGCAATTGATATTGATATTAGATTCAAAAGTAGACCTAAAAAACTAAAAATATGCTAATCTTGTCTATTTTGATAGCATTTAATGGAAAAGTAACCAAGTTTTGTTAAAGTTATCATGATAACTTTCAACGAAACTTGGTCACTTTTGGAATTAAATTAGTAACAAATGGAATCTATCATTCAAGTTGATCGATATTTCATTTGTACTAAGTAATTTTATTCGTATATTAAATGTCAATTCATTCGTTTGTTCATATTGGGATCAATTCTAAGGCGCCATTAACTCTAAATCTCTCTCTAAAATTATAACCTGATATCATAGCAAAATCTTAATTGTAAGGGCCAATATTAACTAAATTTCTAATATGTTTAAATAAAAATTATTGAGGGGAAAGGGATTGTTAGTAATGGAGACTGAGAATCCTATTGCTAGCTATATACCCAACCAGGTCGGCCTCCTCGCAGTTCTTCCTGGAAACTATTATGGTTAATTCCTGATGAATTCATCATGATGGGCTAACTGGCCTGTTTTCATTCTCATCGATCACGCTTCACTGGTGCTCCGCCAGCGTATCCCGTTAGCACAGGCGGGTTACCATACCATTTTCACCCATCAAAAAAAAAACAGCTTTCACTGGTGCCGTCGAAGCGTAAGCGTAACGTATACAGTCGAAGCTACCATTTCATTCTCACCCATTAAAAAAGCAACAATAAGGTACATTATTATTATAGTCCCCTAATCCTGTTGTTAGTTTTATTTTTAATTAAAATATATATAATTTATAATTTATTGCGCCCTAAACAAAAAATCTCTTACACAAATCCTCTCGCAGGGGGGAAAGAGATTGTTAGTAATGGACACAAAAAATCCCATTGCTAGCAATATACCCAACCAAGTCGACCTCCACGCAGTTCCCCCTGGAAACTATCATAATTAATTCTTCATGATGAATTCATCATGATAGGCTAACTGACCTGTTTTCATTCTCATCTACCACCCTTCACTGGTGCTCCGCCAGCGTATCCCGTTAGCGCGGGCGGGGTTACCAATCCATTTTCATCCAACAAAAAAAAATCCTTTTGCAATTATCGACAACCCTATTTGAAGCATCATTGCCAACGAGTTCGCGTATGCGCACCCTCTCGTTAATAGACGCATCAAAAAAGCCACAGTCGTCCCTCTCACACTTATAAAACTGTATCTTCTGTCCCTTTCCGCCGGCTATCGTAAACTTGACCTCAGATTGTAATTATGTTTCCTTCATGTCATTCTTGAGGTAACGAGCGCGGGTGCGCGCGTCGCGAATCTCGGATTTTTTTTTTTAAATGCGGAAACATTGTTTATGCCACTAAAAAAAAATGGTAAGAAATGTGTGAGCTTTACACAATTTTATTTTTGTGATCAACGTTGAGGAAAAGTGTTATGTGGTTATAGTGTGTTCCGATATGTAGTGTTTATGGTGTTTCTGCTGCTTCTAGTTAATTGCGGACCGGTTTGTCAACTGCGAAGGTAGACGAATATCACATTTAAAACATGCACATTTTAATGTACCGAAATATTATATCGATGTATTGATGCCAGATGAGGAAAACCTGTAATGAAACAATATGCCAAGCCTTATGGCTAGGCTAATATGATTCTCTTTATCTGTGTAATAACAGAGTAAATATACTATGGTATAATTGCTCTTTTTCATCATCAGTATCACTTAAGGGAAGCCAAAGAAAACAAAGCATACAGCTATATACCAATACGTTCTCCCCGGGGGGAAAGGGATTGTTAGTAATGGAGACTGAGAATCGCATTGCTAGCAATATACCCAACCAGGTCGACCTCCTCGCGGTTCCCCCTGAAAACTATCATGGTTAATTCCTGATGAATTCATCATGATGGGATAACTGATCTGTTCTCGTCCAAAATGGAATGGTAACCCCGTCTGCGCTAACGGGATACGCTGGCGGAGCACCAGTAAAGGGTGATCGTTGAGAATGAAAACAGTCTAGTTAACCCAAAAGATGAATTAAACAGGAATTAACCATGATAGTTTCCAGGGGGAACCACGAGGAGGTCGACCTGGTTGAGTATATTGCTAGCAATGGGATTTTTAGTCTCCATTACTAACAATCCCTTTCCCCCCTGGTAATATGGTTTAACACACTGCGAAGCGTCACAGGTTCGATCCCGATAGGTACAATAACATTAGTATCCATGGCCTGTTTTCATTCTCATCGATCTCCCTTCACTAGTGCTCCGCCAGCGTATCCCGTTAGCGCAGGCGGGGTTACCATACCATTTTCACCCAAAAAAAAGTCCACCTTATACTACTTATATAGATAGATAAATAATAGAACTGACCGGGATGAAAAGTATATCCTATATCTTTGTCCATCCCATATGGTATGTGTATACCAAATCACATAGTGAATTGTCAAACCAACCCGTCTGCCAAGCGAGACAACTATTGGCAAAAAGATTTACGAAGGGGGGGGGGGGCGCTGTGTTCAGTAGAGAAGAATAGTCCTGGGGTTTTAAAAATCTTACTATACTAGAATTTATGTTATGTCCATGGTACTGCTCATTTCTATAGGCGACGGTTACCACTTTACATCAGGTGGGCCGTCAGCTTGTTTGCCATTCTAAGTCGTATAAAAAAAATTGCTCTGTGACCCACTGATAAATGTAGACGCTAACATTTATTGTGCTCTTAATCCGGCAGGCCTATTAAGCGATGTAACCCATCGCATCGGTAAGTAAATCCATAGTAATATTATAAAATTTATGTACATTTAATGTAAAAGTGAGTTTGTTTCTTTGTTACCTATTAACGTCTTAACATATTAATCAATCACTGTAAAACTTGATATTCATGTAGTATGCGGGGGCGAAGAAGGATAAACGCTATATTTTGTCCCAATCACGTGGACGAAATCACGAATAAAAACTAGAATGGCAAACAAGCTGACGACCCACCTGATGGAAAGTGGCAACCGTCGCCTATAGACATGAGCAGTACCATGGACATAACAGAGTATAGTGTTTCGCCCATGATACCCCCCATGCGTTGCCATTCCCGAGGACTCAGGTGTTATTCCTCTGTACCCAGTAAATTCACGCTGTATCCCACCCTTCAAACCGAAACACAGCAATGCAAACACAACTGGTTTACGGTTGAAACACGAATTGGACAGAGGTACCCAAGCAAACGACTTTTGTACAAAGTCTCCCATTGGTAAACTAATAATTTTTATAGTATCTATTTAATAATTGTCAGCAAGTAATGCTAGTTAAGCGTGGACAGGCTGCATTTTATCTCAGTGATGTAAACAAAACAGCGAGATTTTCTCGTTTATATTTCACGGAAACAAAAATAACATAATTGTTAACTCATACACGTACATACAGAGTTTTTATTTGTAATCACATCTAGGTATAATGCGCTTGATTTAATTTACATAATAATTAGATACATCTAGATGTTTCGATTTTATTCTCCATCCAATTCTAAAACGGTGATATATCCGCCATGTTGGTATTTGCGGTTATGACATTATCATGTATTTCAAACACGACTTATACCTACTTTTATGAGGGGGGAAAGGGATCGTTAGTAATGCGGACTACCAGTTCCAGTGCTAGCAATATACCCTGTCAGGTCGACCTCCGCGCGGTTCCCCCTGGAAACCATCGTGCTGAGTTCCAGGTGTATTCATCGCGATGGGCTGACTGACCTGCCTTTTTTCATTATTCACCTATCATCCCTCACTGGTGCTCCGCCAGCGTATACCGTTAGCACAGGCGGGGTTACCATACCATTAATCATGCATTAAAAAAAACCTACTTTTATGCAACTTGAGGGTTAAGGAGAGTAACTGTCGCCTATAGGAGGAAAGACATTATTAGTACTGCGGACTACCAGTTCCAATGCTAACAATATCAGGTCGAGCTCCACGTGATTCCCTCTGGAAACCATTGATGTCAGGTGTATTCCATGGTACTGCTCATGTCTGGGGGGAAAGGGATTGTTAGTAATGGGGAGGTTAGTCCCCATCGCTATCAATATACCTTATTAGGTCAACCTCCACGCGGTTCCCCCTGGAAACCATCATGACTAATTTATCATTGAATTCGTCACGATGAGTTAACTGGCCTGCCTTTTCATTTTCACCAATCATCTCTCACTGGTGCCCCACTAGTGTATACCGATAGCGCAGGCGAGAATACCATTCCATTACCATCCATAAAAAAAAACAGGTTATACTGCTGACAATTGGGCCACCAGTACCCATTGCTAATAATCCATTCCACCTACGTTTGCGGGGTCAAATAGTAGTTTATGATATAGGGTCAAAAAAACAAACAAACAAATTGTCGTACACGCTTATCGTTGTATACGAAGGCGGATGTTATCAAAGGCCTCGTTACAAACAATAATACATTAGTTCTAAGGACAAATGTCTCGATTAGAATCACGCGCCGAGAAAACCCTATTATTACCCGACTACGAAAAAAATGTGTAATGTTTTTGGCGTACTTGTGTCAATTTAAAATAGGGATACAATAGGGTCGATTTTGTAGCGCCATTTTTCTGAATCTATCTCTAATTTGATTTCTCAACAAAATTCTTACTATATAGGCCAATATTCTAATACATTTAAGTTTTTTTTTTTTAATTAATGACACTGGAATGGTAACCCCGTCTGCGCTATCGGTATACGCTGGCGGGGTACCAGTGAGAGATGATAGGTGTAAATGAAAGGGAAGCTCAGTTAGTCCATCGTGGTGAGTTCACCTGGAATTCAACACTATGGATTCCAAAGGGGACCACGTGGCGGTCGACCTGACAGGGTATATTGTTATGGGACGTATAACTAACAGCCCCCCCTCCCTCCAAAATCAATTTAGGTCCATAAAATACGCATAAAATTAGTACATTAAGAGATAGGTTTAAAGAAATTGCGCTACAGAATTGACCAAGTTGATTATATTTGAGACGTGTATAATTAAGAATTTCGAGGATTTATACCATATTATACCACAGCAGTCGTTAACTGTCCACTGCTGAACATAGGTCTCGTCCATAAGGCGGTTTTGCCAGTAGGCGTCACGCTTGGCAGGCAGGTTGACACCTCCTGTTTTAACCACCTAACCTAGCCTTTGGTAATGTTTCACGCTGCTGCCCATCCCTCAACCATTAAGTTCCATTAGTCGCTTCTTACAACACCCACAGCAGGAAGGCATAGACCATTCTATACTGGGATCACACGACGAATATATTTATAAATAAAAAATATATATGGTAAATAATAAAAAAATAAATAACAAAATTGCATCTCTGTTTTAGCGTTATTAAAAGCCTGATGAAAAAGCTTCACATCACTGATTGAATTGCGAATAAATGAAGTGATACTTGCTTCAATGCTTGAACGTGAATAGTCTCTGATGAGTTTCAAATACTGCAATTTGGTTAACGACGGTATAAATCCCCTATTCTGTGTTATAAAGAAGTACCTACTTCGCAAATTAAAAACACAATCGCTGTGCTAATAAACGTTCTATTTTCAAAAAAATACATATATAATGTTACTCGAGATCATGTAAAATTTCTACTGATGCCTCCAAACATTCAAATCTGTTCTGGCGTTTAAAAGTTATAATGAAAAATAACTCACATATATATATATATATATGAATTCTGGAAACAAGTAAGGGATTGTTAGTAATGATTCTAACTACTAATTATTAGTAGACCCTATTAGGTCGACTTCCATGCGATTCTCCCTGGAACTTATCTTGGTTAATTCTTGTTGAATTCGTCACCATTGACCAACTGACCTGCTTTCATTCTCATTTATTATCTCTCATTGTTGTCCCGCCAGCATATCGATACCGATAACGCACATGGGGCTACCATTCCATTTTCACCTATTAAAAAAAACACTCAATCCTTTTTTGGGCAGACATGTAAAAAACACCCAAATCACTATTTCAAATCCGGCACGAAGGACCAAATAAATGACGGACTCCAAAAACACCATATTCTTATTATTCACATTTAATGTTGCAATATAAAATACAATGCACATTGAGTAGGGGGGAAAGGGATTGTTAGTAATGGAGACTGAGAATCCCATTGCTAATAATATACCCAACCAGGTCGACCTCCTCGCGGTTCTCCCTGGAAACTATCATGGTTAATTCCTGATGAATTCATCATGATGGGCTAACTGGCCTGTTTTCATTCGCATCTATCACCCTTCACTGATGCTCTGCCAGCGTATCCCGTTGGCGCAGGCGGGGTTACCATACCATTTTCACCCATTAAAAAAATGCACATTGAGCTTTCAATTTATCACATAGAAAC